CACCATGTCCTGGAGACCGCGGTGGCGCGCCGCCCTCGCGCTTCGTTTGAGACGCTGTCGTGCGGGCGAGAGGTGCGCGAGGAAGGGTTCGCACCAGGGGGGAAGGGGGGGGGCACCCGCGCGTAGGAGGGAGAGTGGAGGCTGAGGTAGAAACCGAGCACATATAACTGCCACTCGCAATTATAAGGCGGCAAAAGCGATGTGAGAATGAGATAGAGGGAGGGAAATGGGGGAGGATCGCGGGGAACAAGACGTGCAGTGCAGACAGACGCGACTATCAAACGTTTGTAGTAGGGTTGGAAAATTCCAAAGTTTTTCCGTGAAATTTCCGTAAAATTTCCGCAAATTTCCGGAAAATAACTGAAATTTCCAAAGTCTGGGAAATTTTCAATTTTTTTCCCCGGAAATTTTCTGCTTTTTCCTAAAATTTTACTGAAACTTTCCAGGGCTTCCAACGCTACTCAATGGTGGTGTGTCCGGAGGTGAAAACTAACATTAAACAAGATGCTCCTGCGCAGACAACTTTGTCCCAAAATAGGTGACATCAACTTGCACATCATTTGCTCCGTCACTTGCAACAAGGGCTTAATTCTTCACTGTGACAATTTTTTATCCGACTCAGTACCAACAGTCTCGAAAATCTCACATTATGTGTCTCACGCAAAAGATGTTCTTCAAAACAAAACATTTCATAGCACCAACCAGCAGAGTGCACCGAGGAAGGTCCACTCGCAAACGTCGCATTTCACAATATGGTTCTCCAGCGCATATTTAGCATGACGCGTGCCAGCGAGAAGAAATGAATCAACTTTGGTCGTCAGCCAGATTTCGACTGAAGACCGGCTGGTTAAAGACGGTGCTCCCAGCACTTCTACCCGAGGGGCCCCTACTATAAATCCAAGCGTGCACTGATTTTTCTGTTATCTTCTCTTAGTTTTTTCTCTGTTTTTTCTAGGTTCCAATTTTCCACTGATTGTTTCTTTTTTTTTGAGGGGGGGGGGGGGTTGTACTTACTTTTTGAGTGATCCTTTGCTCCTATACCAACCCCTTGAGCTCAACGCTCAACCGGCTTTAGGCCCTCTCTTCTCTCATGGGCCCTCATAGGCTACAGTCGACCCCACATAGCTCACCTGCGCGGTCTTCTCGTCCCCGGCCGGGGGCTGCTCGTCGGTCGGGGCGGGCGCCACGACGATGGCGAGGATCACGACGACGAGCGCCAGGACGCAGGCCCTGGTCGTGTCCATGGCGAGCAGGGGGGGTTCCTGACGACGACGGCGTCGACGGCGTCCTCAGGTCGCTTCTCGCTGCTGCTCGCTGCCGCTCCGCCCTGCCGCGGCCGTGGTCCTGGAGTCACTGGGCGCGGAGGGCCCGCCGGCCAGGGGGGCGCGACCGGCTGCTGGAGGGGGGCGCCCCCAGACACAGCACAATATGGGGCGTCACGCCTGGACCTAGGCCGGGCGCTGGAGGAGGAAAGAGGG